GACAGAAAAGACTATGTGGAATGTTTCTATTCATTTTTCAAGCATGGGTGGTGCCGACACCCCCTCTGTGGAGGGATGGTTTGGTAAGGAAGAGGGAAACGGTTTCAATGTATTAACACAAAGATTATAATTAAGAAAGAGTACTAGTTTAATAGACCAGAGAAGCAAATTGAAAAGGCCTGAGTGTTTTTAAAAACCGTCAGAGCAAAACGACACATATCCATCAGGTCCAGTATAATGAGAACAATCCCTATAGTATTGATAGAAAAGTTCATATTTTATATATTTGTTGTATATATCCCAATAAAGCAGTTCCTCCGTTAGCTAATACTACTGTTGGTGTATCCTAAAAAACTGTTAATGAATTGTTTTTTTGTTTTTTGTTAACTAACTTTTGTACGAATTTTGGTGTTGGTCAGGATGTGGTAAATGTTGTGATGTAATGGTATTTTGGGCATTTTGACCTTTTCAAAAAGCACTTCCAACAACTCGTTCAGGTTTCATCATTAACACCTGGGTAACGTTAGCTGTCTGTAGATTGAACGTCGTCCCATTCATTCATACAGTAGTTCAGGACGTCTGCTGATGTTGAATTCAACCACAGTCCAACTCCAAAGGTTTTCTAGCAGAATTAGCTTAGCTTCGGTGATATTTAATTTAGACAATCTCTTGTGTGAAATTATTTATCTTTGTAAATCTTGTTTTGTGGTGGAATTAAATCTTAACACCAGTGTTATTATCAGGCAATAAATGGATATACGTGTTTATATTTATGCTTCATGCAAAGAAATGGACATAATTTAAATTTAACTGCAGTGTCGCTGGAGGCTACGCTGTACTCAAGTGTCGGGGTTAATTGTCTCCCCAAGTATTTGCTTATACCGAAGAACAGAATGTACCGATGCACCATTCTCTTTAAATTATTGAAAAACAAACGGCGTGCTCTGCAGAAGTTGAATGTGTGCGTTTGTAAAAAAATAACAAGTATCGACTGTGTACTTTTCCTGTTGTTTTATTCGCTCCCCCTCCCCACCCCGCCCGCCCGCCCGTCTTTCATAGTTATCTTCCTACAGTATGTGCAGACCGACACAAAAAGGACAAATCGAGCTGTTATCCCTTATCTCACCTATGATTAAAAAAGGTGACAGAAGAACAAAGCAAACCCAGCACTCTCCTCTCTCTCTCTCTCCGTTCCTTCCTCTTTGTCTCCATCTTTCTCCGCCACCTCCCCCTTTTACCCTCCTGCAGCCCACCCCATAACCTTACACTCCCTCTCAGAGCTGCGAGGCTCAGGGCTGTGCTTTATTTCTTTGCTCATTTTTCTCAGAGATTGGTACCTTCACACGCAGATCCATACCATGCTCTTGTGCAGAGCAGGCAGTGGTGAAGAAAGAGGGTTATATTTTCCCCTTGAGTTAGGACACCTCATGACAAATGATAATGGATAATCAATAAAGCGGGAAATATGAGGCAGCAAACTTTATGAAGCTAGGAGACATATTACTCCCCAACAACACTGGTTTCCCTTAACAAAGTCACTACTCGACTGTGCCTAATAATCTGAAGGAAAATCAAAGGACCTACATCCACATCAGCAATATCGGCAACTTATTCCACTTTAATGGCATTTTGATTGATTTTTCCCCTCTTCCTAATGGTCGTTTTATAGATTTGGAGCTGCTTCTGCAAAACAGTAGTGTGTAATAAACCTCCCCGAAGGCAAACAGCAGCCATTAAAGCTCTTGTCTTACTAGTGCTCATAATTGGAGGTTGACCACCAACACAATTTTGGTCTCCCCACGTAGAAAGGAAACACACAAAACCCACACGTCTCCCGTGGCGGACACTCATCCCGCTCTCCTTGATATTTTTTGAGAGACGGCCATGATGTGTGACAGCGTCCCCTTTCTCCTGTCCTGTTTGGGCAGCGGGGTTAAAAATAGCCATTAAGGAGGTGACCTTGGCGCTGACATTGTGGAATTTCAGCCAAGCATTGACCTGATGAAAATGGAAGGCCAGCCTGCTAATAAATCAGGATGCTTTTAAAATGAGTTTACCCTAATGCTCATTCATCACACGCTGTAATGCCATTTGCAGGCCGCGGGATTCGCTGCCGTGCACAAACACAGCAGTAAATAACAACAGGGCCTGAGCCTCCTTCGTATCACTGCAGCCTCCAACATCAGCATACATTTATTAAAGACGTCCCCGCCTCGCACGGCAAGACACTGCCATGACACCACAAGCTCATCTATACCTCTCTCTCTCTCTCTCTCTCTCTTACCCACACACATAAACACATACACAACAACAATGCAGAAAATAAAAAGAAGCTCAGTCTGAAACAATGGCAGACGGAGAACAAAGCCCTGCAGCGCAACTTTGCACGGTGTAAACGCTCACAAGTTTGACTCTAACAGTCACACCTCGGTATAAATCTCGACGAAAGGTGTCGTATCAGATTGTCAACATCTGAAACAAACAAACAAAAAATAGCGAAGAGGGGAATAACGGATGTGCAACGACACCCGTCCTCTGGGATTTGCTAAAGAAAACAAACAGTGTAAACAAGTCACGAAGCTGTTTTTATTTGCAACTCGCAAAACAAGACAAACTGCACAACCTTGGCTTGATTTGCCGTTGCTTACTGGTGTCATTTGTAACTACTTCTTCTCTCTACACTAGGATGAAAAAGTCATTATCTCACACACACAAAAAAATGTGGCGAAACCTCATCAGACGGCAACATTTGTTGAGGGAGGACCGTAATAAACGGTAACAAATGACAATTGTTATTGCCCCTGACACTGATGAGCTCCTCTGCAAGTTTGTTTATTAATTAAAAAACAGATCCCCCCCCCCACTCCATGGGTGGGTGACAGGGGGGGTCTTATCCATTTCCTCTACATGCCCCCTCCCTCCTTTCCACCTACACTCCCTCATGCACAAGTCACTGAGCTGTGGAGATGCACTCGTTCATCAAACTTCACGGAGCACGGGAAAGACAGGTCCTGATAATGTGCGCCTGCTAAAGCTGATTTTCCATGATGAATCTCGGAGCATATAAATTGGCTAATATCTGAAAACATTTACAGATACTAGAGGAATTGACTACTTGTGGGACATGATGGATGAGGCTCCCCGACGCTGGCCGACAGCTCTGCAAATCTCTGTGGCTGCCTAAAGCCCTCATTTGATTTTCCAATTTACTCCTTTTAAATTTATCCTCCAGTATTGGGAAAAAAAGAAGATGGGGGAACGAAGAGCTGGAGATGAGAGAAAAGGGGGAGAAAATGTGTGTTTGTGTGTGTGTGTGTGTTTGTTTTTATTTTTTTTAAGATATCCGTGGTGGTGTGTATGTGCTGGCTGATGATATGAGGTGGTATCTCCTGTGCAGCAGGAACCCGTGAGTCCCTGAAGAGGTTACTGGGGCAGAACTGATCTGCTTCCACCTGATTCTCCCTGATAGCACTGAGATAGGACTCCCTATTTTTCTTTCTTTCTGTATGTGTGTGTGTGTGTGTGTGTGTGTGTGTGTCAGTAGTAATGGTAGATCTGGGAAGGGGCTGCTATGAAGACAGGCTTCCTAGATCAGACTATTAGACTGTTGCAGCGGCAGAGTGGAGCTTCTCTGCTGAAAAGGAGTAATTAGTATACTTGTCAAGTGAAGTGCCACGCTGATGCTTACCTCCCTCACACCCACCACTGGTGTGCATGCATACACATAAGCACCGAAACACTCGTGCTGCCTTCGCCTCCTTGCTCCCTTCCTCTCGCCCTCCCTCCCTTTCCTTTTTTTTTGTTTTGCTAATGAAGTGCCCTTGCTCTCATTTTGTGCAAAAAAAGAAAAAAGTCTACATATACACATCAGCTCCACCACAACAGAGAGAGAGAGAGAGAGAGAGAGAGAGAGAGAGAGAGAGAGGGGAGGAAGAGGAGAAGAGGAGCACTTAAAGTAAGGAGGAACTTGAACGATTGGAGTGGATATAACGCCAGGGTTTTTACTGGATCCAACGTAGTACAATATCAGTTATCACCGCGTCTGATCTGCAAAACGCCGAAGCTATTATGAATTCTGTCAAAGAAAGCAGAGGATCACAGCAGACGCCGACGTTCTCACAGTGTTAACATCAAACGCGGGACATTTATAACCCCGCGTACGAGGCTCCTGTAAAGGAATGTGACAATAAATCTTAAAGGCGCTCGAATCACGTAGTTACAAAACATGGAGGGGCAATCTAATCTGGAGCTGGGCCTTGGGAAAATGGAAAAGGTCAAATAGATGGCAAAATTGCCTCCTCAAAAACTATGTCTAAATCTAGAGGCATATCACCGGTGTTTAGGGTGTGTGGGTGGGGGGGGGGGGGGGGGGGGGGGGGGGTAGTTGAAAGAGAGATGAAGAGATAGAAGGAAGTGGAAAAGAAATGATTGTATTTGTGTGACTTTGAGGCAGTTTGAATGACAACACAGTGATTTACAGTGTGCCTTTATCACTCGTCTGCTGGTTTAATTATACTGTATGAAAATATCAGTCCACTGGAATATTGCCAGATTTCATTGCCCAATATTTTATTGATATTCTACAGCACTGTATCTTTTTGATTAACAATTAATTAAATGCAAATATTCATGATGTTGTTTCAACATTTTCGTGTTGCATTTAAACCTCGGACCAATAGTTGATTGTACAGAGGATGCATAGAAGTATTTGAGACTTTGTCAAACAATCTTATTTCTTTGGTTTGTTTATTTCTTCCCTAACGATTACAAATGTAGATCCTAATAGTTTTTTTTATTGGCAAAGAAAAAAAGTCAAGTAATTTTCTCTTGCAGAAATACAATGATTAATGCTCAAATGATTTAAAAGAACATTTAATGGAAACAGGAAAGTGACCCAATAGTTACCTTAACTCTGCTCCAGTTTTTAAGTGTGCTGCAGGTGATTTCAAAATAAGTTTGACAAATAGATACAAGTTTCCAGTAAAATGTCTGATAAATAGAGGTTCACGCTGATTACAGATTTTAGTTTGCACTGCATATTTGGAGGTTGCACACCCTGGAAACTGGGTTTTTATAAAATAAAGGAAATCATTTTACCTCTGGGACAAAGAAAATAGTCCAACGTAGAAATCTCAAATAAAGTGTAAAGGGAATAAAACGACTCTCCACAAGTGTTAATTACTTGAAACCGTACATCACACGGCTTGGCGCTGTTGTGCAGAGCGTGGACGATAAAGGGAGTGGGAATGTGCACCAGTGACCTTGCCTCCCTTAGATCCTCGCCCATGCAAAAAAGACGAGGAGCATTATGGATGTTGATATCATATTCAATACATGATAAAACTGCTTTGAATGTATTGATTTATTTTACAAAAGCCAGATAGTTTTCCATTCCGCTTAACTGATGCTCTCGCCAATACTGGGGTGGAGTCAGCTCACTGGTGGTGTAGGTGGAGGGAGGAAGAGGAATATGGGGGCGGGGGGGGGGGGGGGGGGGGCAGCGCTCGTGTGTGTGTGTGTGTGTGTTGAGGGAGACACAACAAGAGAGCAAAACAAAACAAGGAACGGACAGAAAACAATTTAAAACTGGGTATTGATCCAGCAGTAGTGATTGTACATATATTCCACTCTCCCAAAGGCCTCATTCCTGGGTCTCTTAAATGCAAAGGGAGAGAGAGAAGGGGAATAAAAAAAATTATGGTGCGAGTCAAAGGCAACCCACTCACCCAGTTGGGGGTAATGTCCCTTATATAGAAGTCTATTGATCTTTGCAGCGCTGCCCGCCTGCCCTCCCTGTGGAGCCCCACACACACACACACACACACACACACACACAGTGCCATACACTGTGGGGCTCGTGCGGCACCATGACAGATATGCCTGCCAATAGCCGTGAACCAACCTGTGAGCTAATTGCACACAAAGACAATTATCCTTGTATTGTTTCATAATGGAAACACATTAATGGAGTCTAATATACACACAGGGAGATTGGACGACTGACCGCGCGGCCCATGTGGGCAGCAATTCATTTGCAAAGGCCAAGCAGGTCGCCCCAGAGCTTGAAGCGAGAGCTCTTTAACAACAGAAGTCACCCTCAAAGCCACTGACTTCAGGGCTAGATGAAAAGTTAATTTATAGATAATTAACACTCCTGTCCTGAGGCAAGACAGGGCAGGTCCTGTTGTTAATATCAATATTTTGCTGAGATCTGGTTTTTTTTTCGTTGATGTTTGAATTGTGGTTTAAATGCGACCAACATTGCACTCCGTTGTGAACAGTAGCCATGACGTGTATGGTACAACACTGTACGTTGTATTTACTGAGGTAGATATGGATCATGGACGTTATTGTGTCATCAGTATCAGTCTTTTTGGCTAGCTGACCTCTGACTGGCTGCTTCAACGGTATCGCCAAGCTTGATTCGACTTTGAGATTTCAATTTGTGTCCCCCAGGCTTGGCACAGAATTGTAACATATAGCTCACTTTGGTGTACGTGTTGGATGACATGTGACATGACTTTACAAACTGAGGGCCGCGTATGAATGAAAGTTGCCCTGAGTCAACATAAAAAAAATCAGATATTGGTCGCATAAAAGCAGACAGTGTGACCACGAACACATTTTCCAGATTAAATTCTGAGTAGATGAAATAATTCCGATTTTGTGCCATTAACGTCTGTAACTGTCCAGTAGAAACCCTCTCAGCTCTGTTGAATTCTACAAGAGACTGTGGCCACGATGTTGGTCTCCAGCCTGCAACAAGATGGCTTCACTACTGTTCTGAAATTAATCAAAGATCAAGCAGGAAGTTTCATCTGCAACAAATCTATTTTGAGCATTAATAAAGCTTTTCTTTTTTTTTTTTTTGCTGCATGGAGATGGAGATATGCAATGTGCTATTATCTGAGACGGAGTGCTTCCCCTGGATGAATGCCCTGTTCTACAAGCTGCTCAGACTTGTATTTTGACAGGCAGTGGATAACGGTGGGTCTAAAGCAATCACGTCTTTGACTTTGACAAATGGCTGTGCTGTGGCGAAGTTGAAAATAACACACATCCACTCTAATCTCTTTCTTGATTAAATTGGAAGCACGTCTTTTTGACATGCGATTCACTCCCAGAGCCGACTAGTGCACAGACGCACACACGTGGTCCTTGGGATGTGTCATTTTTTTTTTTTTGTAATGCCTCGGTGTTGGCAAAAATAAAGAATTGAATCTGTAGAGGAGAAATTTAAGGTAGGTGTTGCCTCACTTTTCATTTGTGGGCGGACCTGATGCTGAGTGCTGACTAAATATGAGAAGATTAGGTTGTGGCAGTGTATCTGACAAGGAAATAGAATCTGGTGTTGTGGTTCGAGTCCAGGACTCTTGGTTTGACTCACACCAGAGGACTGACAACTTGGACTTGGAATATGAATCCAAGCTCGACTCTTACTTCCAAAACAGTGTTTCATTTGTTGACTTGACCTCCTTCTTGAAGCCACCAGCAGACCTCGGACTAACCTCAAAACGACCAAGTCTTGACTCACTGTTTTTTTTAGTAAAATGGACTTGCATTAAAACTCCAACTTCTTTTTCTAAAACTCAAGACAAAGAATATCCTGCAGACTTGACTCAGACCAAACTTGTAAGGCTGCTGGGACATTCTTGGAGGTGTACAGCTTCCCCCGGTCATATTCCTTCCAGCTCTTAAAAACCCTGGAGAGGTTATTGGAGCACCTAATGCCAGTTGAAGCTAGGGGAAAAGTTTTAAATTACTAAAAGATTAAATTCAAATCAAAGCTGATGGACTAGCACTTTACAATTTTAGCCCCCCCTACAGGAAAGGTATGCTATGTGTTATCATAACATTTTTCTAAATTTCTGACGACTATCAGTGTTTTTTGCAAAAACAACCAAAAACAAATATCCAATGCATTATTACATTATTTACAAAATACACCAAATTTCAGAGCCATTTAAAATAAACATATGCTTCTGGACGTCCATTAACACCGACTGGGAGTCGTTGCTGTCTTTTAACACATTTCTCTTAAGAAACACCAACAGGAATAGAGTAGGAGAAGGAATGAGAGGAGCGAGGAGGTGGGGGTAGATGGATGCACTGGGGGATGAAGCAGGTCGAGGACAGAAATCAGAGGCTTTATAAATAACACTGATGAGGTGAGCTAGCATTGATCCACACTGCAGTTGAGAGGTGGGTGGTCCTCCCACTGCTTAATTGCCAGTCATGTGCCCTGGAATGCTGCAGCTACTACTAAATGTGGTCTGTGTCTCATTAGGACTTGGGCAGCCTGAGAGTACAGCAGTGAGAGGGCTGAGATTTGGGACTTAAACAGAAAGAGTTTTAAAAGACAAAGTGTTACAATTAAGAATGATGGAGGGGATGACAGAAAGGACAGAGTGGGAAATGGAAAAGTGGTACTCACGCGTTTCACCCTCCAGGTCTTGAAGGAATCTGTCAAGGATGATCCGAGCCATCAGTGCGGGAGACAGATCTACCTTTACATAGATTAAAAAGAAAAGACATTGAAAATGAACAACAATCCAGGCTAAGTTGTCAACGCGTTTAACTTTAAAACCACGTAGGGTGGAATTGTTATTCCGCTCAGGGAGACCTGAAGCATTTACACACCTTTGCACGAAATCGCACATCTATCAGAGCGCCCAGCCATATTACAATGTACATAAAAATGTGGCGCTAAAATTAGAGCCAGTCTCGCTTCGGCTGATGTCACACAGAAAATAATGACTCCTAATGTCTCTAAATGATATTATTACGTTTCAAAACCTTGACCCAACTTTCGAAGAATCCCGACGCAAATCTGTCTTTGAAAGACTCGCTCGGCTGTAACCTTTCCCCCAGGAACAAAAGATTGCCCATTACAGAGGCAGGCTGAATTGCCTTTGCCTCCGTCAAATGGACGACTGTAGTCTCTCATGTTGCGAGTAAAAAGAAGTCTCGCGATCTGCCCCGGCTTTAATCATAGAGCGATCACCACGGCGAAGACTGTGAGGGTAACAGGACAGGACACACCGCAAGGACTGTGGGAAAGCAGGCTCTAATGGGAGGATAGAACCTATGGCCACGTGTGTGCTGGTCCAACACAAACCTTCAGAGGATGTGCATTTGAGTTCATTGAAGAAGCTCTGACAGGAAAGGCAACACTAATGACCGATACTCCACATCCCCACCGCCAACTGCATCCTTTCTCAGTGCCTAACTATGAGTTGTTGCACCATTAAAGCCATAATATAAGGCTGTGCATTGAAAAATCAACAGCTATTTCCCATCCCTACACACTGTGCAATTATTTTCCTAAATGGCCAGGTAGCACAAGATTTATAGACGCATCTTCAAACAAAGCACGTGAAGAAAAAATGTTTTCAGGCCGTGCATTTAATTCTTCAGCTTGAACAGTATACCTGCTTGGTCTCCGCAGTACGAAACAGGAATTAAAAGATTGCTTAAAGACACTGCCATCTGAGAGCAGCTTGCTATGAAACACTGGTAGCCAACAATCATTTGTTCTCTAGTTAGCATAATTGGAGACCAGTAGTGAATTTGCCCTCAGCGTATAGAGGGAATGGTGTGTTTTATCTTTCCTGCGATGCCTGGAGCAGCGAGACTTTGCTCTAAACAATGTCTATTACCCAGCGTAGAATTTGTTAACATCTCCATAATATTGTACTTAGAAAGGAGGCTAAATGGGCTTAATAAGTCTGTAATAATTAAGGGCTGAGTGCAGAGTTTATATCTTCATTAGGACCTTTGATTGCATTTCAGACAGCATGCGTAGCCTGCAGCTCCTGGAGGTTCCTCTCCCTAATGTCCCTCATCATCTCTACATCCCTTCCACCTCTTCCTCCATTTCTCCCCTTCTTTCTTATTTGTGCTCATTGGCTAGCGCTCCACATTCACACCTTTGGATAACAAGAGGGCATCAGATTTCTGCTACCCTGTGTCACATCAGGTTACAGGCTGACACATGAAAAATGGCAACATTACCATGGCTGGCTCAGGCTGAATAAGGACCACCTGATTAGTTCAGGTAGTTGCTTCTGCCTAATTTTCATATTAATCACGAGTTCATCTCGGCTCCCAAGTCGGACCGCGGCACCTCACGACTTTAACATGTGAGTGAGAATTCATAGAGCATGGGATTCATGCTGAAAATAATTATTGTTCAGTAAAACCCTAGGGGTCACGCACATTATCGTGGTACAGTCACCTGCTACAGATTGAAATAGAGCAGAAAGGCAGAATTAACCCAACAAGTATTTTTTTTTTGCTTCATCTGGCTGAGGAAAAAGAATAAAGAAAAATCCAGGAATAGTTCTTATCATTGTTAATCATTTTCCTCTGTTGGAGATATATTGTCTCATAAAAGCGATGAAACTACATCAATTAGCGATCAGGGAGACCATGAGTGCTGGGTTTAAATGTTAAGTAGCATATTAAAATGACAGTTAAATGGTTCATAGACAGTTATCTCAGAGCTGTATTTTAATCCTTTGGAGAGAGAGAGCGAGAGAGAGACAGAGAAAGAAAAAATGTCAATTAAATACAGGATGAATAATGGCAGTTAGCTTTAAGGTGTGACTGATGCCTACAGTATAAGCTGCTCTTATTTTAAAAAGGACCCTCAAATCTGATTGCCCAGTGTGAGCGACAATAAAAATTTAAAGAGTCATTTGAACGTCTTAAAAAAGGTCAAACTGCTCATTCTCACAGTAAAAGTAGGACAAAAGTAGACCGACAGTGTATCAGAATGACGGGTAAATAAGTACATATTATACAACATTTATCTATTTAATTCTAATTAAAACTAGTTGCTGACCTTTTATTGCTGGTTAGTTGGTGAGATTATATTTTAATTTTTACAGTAAAGATATAGTATAGAGCAGGAGTGTCCGCACTATAGTGATCTATATATGTATATACATATATATGTTGTATATGTATGTGTATATGTATGTATATGTATATGTATATGTATGTATGTATATATATATTTAAATAGCTTCTGGTTTCTGGTTTCTTCATAAACGCTGCAGGTTAAATTACCATGTGGACAATACTGTAAATGTCTTCAGTCTTGTCATGATAACTGGAGGCTACAGTGTTTTACCATCTGCTTATGACGGAGCATTTACCCACAACATGCAACTGGCCACTTAATTTTGCATGAAAGTGTGGACGTGAAATGATGTGCATGTATACAAGTCTTTGAACACCAGCCACGGCACAAATGTTACCTGACCTCCCAAAGTAAATAATTACGGTGGGATAGAAGAAGGGTTTAACCGCTGACCCTGTCCTCACCTGCCAGCAGTTAATGGCAAACTGCAATTTACACAATTACGTAATAAAAAAAACAAAAAAAATATATTTTCACATCTGCTTAATGGAGGTAAGTTAATGACATCAAATAATTGGTAATGACGCAGACCATTTGACCAATTTTGATAATGACAAACATATGAGGGGGAGGTGTGTTTGTGTGTGTGTGTGTGTGGGGGGGGCTTGTAGCCTTTCATCTCTGCATTTATAGAGAAATGTGACTGTGGCTACGAGAGACAAAAATAAAGGTTATGTCAGTACCTCATTTGCCAACTCCAGCAGGACAGGAGCGGTGGGACGAGCCTTGCTTTCACTCAGATACCTTTATTATAACAAAGAAAAAGATCAGTGAGAACACGCGCACACACACACACGTATACACAAAACACGGGGCAGACAGAAGGGAAGAGGAGACTAGACCAGGCTAGCCAAGACATGCTAATGTCCCTGATGACTTTGCCCTGGGTGGCATATGGCAGGCTTGCTGCGGTTAAACAGCAGTGCTTGAAGGGCTTCAAATTTCCTTGAAGCCAGACAAGCCTGTGATAGTTAGTTAACCCCTGCCGCCCAAAAACCCTTCTTTCCCTCCCAAGATCAAACACGCCCTCCCTCCCCCCAGACGTTTTCAGATTATATCTGAGGTGAATTACAAGTGGATTATATATCCTTGTTTGCACCAAAGTAATAGCCTTAGAGAAATATTTATGTGTATTTAGTGAATTAGAGATAATAATACAGTGTCAGGCTTGTGGTAGGCAAGGGTCCAAATACTGATGGTTTTTTGTTTTTTTTACAGTTTGCCTTAACAAAAAAGGAGAATTTTTGCTATTAAATCCCCAGTTTGGTGAAGTTGGTCTTGTGCCGTATTGTGGGAAAGGAAATAAAAAGGAAAAGACACCAAGAAAATTAAAGGAAGACAAAAAAAGATAAAGTGAAAAGAAAAAAAGCCTTGAACAAACCCAATTTCCAGAATGTAGTAGGTTTAGCATGGATGTTGATTATGCTATACCACCTTCTGTGTTCCTAAATCTTTACTGTAATATTAGCAGTGCATTTACTTTTATCTTTCTATTTCAAAGAAACATTATTTTTACATTAACAGACCATTTAATAGTAATAACCATGACCTTTTTGATGCTCCTTTTTTTTAAAAACAAAGCTCTACACCCCATCAACCCAACACGAAGCCCATTCTTGGGTAAAACGTGTCACTTTCTTTGTCTATTGTTCTATAGAATATTTGATGTTTTATTGTATTTTTGACCAACCGTTTCTGGAAACAGAGTTTGTAGATAAAGAAACAAAAAAGCAGTACCACAGTAGTACCACAGTACACTACCTTTGGTAGTGGCTTTCAATAACATCTGGTGCGTGATGTCTTGAGATGGTCCTTTTGGTTCGTTTCTGTCACAGATATCAGAGGTGCAATAACAGCATCGACACGATATTATTCATCCAGAGGCAACAGTGGTGAATAGTACAGTACATCAAGGCCAAGAAGGCAAGCGTGTTCAGCCACGGCTCCACTTTCATGCTCTACTGTGTACGAACAATTGCAAGATCTTGGGTCAGAGTAATTTCATTTCAATAAGTTTACTGTGAGGTCAAAGTGTGCCACAGCAACCTTGTACAGCCCCTGTCCCCCGTTTCCCCTCTACCCTCCCTTCACTGAGAGCTTATTCATTTCCCCTTTTTCGATCAAACTGTGACCCCTATTCCACATCCCACACCCTGACATTTCCATGCAATTCGATTGCCATATTTGCTGAGAGGTTGGAGGATGGGATAAAATACAAAGAGCACTGGTTAAAAAACAACTTATTTAAAAACTACTACACAGGGAAAAAAAATGTAATTCCTCTGAGACAAGCAGTGTGACTGACACCTGTCATGAGGATGATAAATGACTCCATTTTCTGCCTGTGCTGCCTTCTGCCACCGGCGGCAGCGGCCATTTATCATCATCCGCTGTCAGCCATGGAAAGCAGCAGTGACAGTGCGAGTCAGCAAACATTTAGCACACGCAGCCGCACTACACGGGGAAATTATTATTGTCAGAATAATAATGGTTTAGCATAATTTATTACAGGTCCACCAAATAAGCAGAGGCTAGATGTTATTAGACAGATGGATGGGAAGGCTTGGCAGACATCCACCGAGGCTCAGGCAAGCAAGGGCCTTCAACGTGAACGTGAGTAGGAGGAGGGGACGGAGTTGGCGGCGGCGGTGGGGATAGTTGCGGGGGGGGGGCATCCTCCAAACCAATCAGAGAGCTGGCAGTTCAATTACAAAGAAATAAAGGGACATTCATCATTCAATTAGGCACCTGTCACGGCTCACAAAGGAAGAAAACTTCTAACCTGGTACTCCAGGGAGAAGATGCTCAGAAGAGTGGACTGCGAGTGACTGGAACAAATAAAAGAAGGACAAAGTTAATTACCAGAGTGCATTGCACAGAGACAAAGGGAAAAGGGGCGGAGGGTGGTGGGGGGCTTCAAAGCTGAGGCCAGCTGCCCTGTAATCTAAAAGAACATGAAAACAAGTGTGGCAAAGTTGTTCCAGATGAACACCTCTGACAAAGGATTCCTGCCATGATGGTGTGGGGGCCCGAGAAATAGTGGGGGGGGTTGCGTGTGGTAGGAGAGATGAGAAAAATATAGACCTTTTCTCTCACTCATACATGTCTTCATCTTGTATGTGTTGTTGTGGCTAAAAGCAGAGTTATATATAATTCAAAATGTCTTTTTGTTGTTGCTATAAAAGCAAAATTCTACAAATTAAATATGGGGGAAAAAAAGAGGCTATTAATGAAATTCACTGAAATTATAAATTCAGGTCGAATCATCAATGTCAAATGTTGTCATTATCTACACTGCAGTGCAGAGACAGACCCCGTGTGTGTTGATGTTTGCAACACAGACATATTAGAAAGTTTACTGCTCCAGTGTCAGTGCTGGCATATGGGCCGTACTTGAGCCCTCCCACTGCAACTGATGGGCTCTGAAAATGGAAACGTTCACTGCTGGAAGCTGGGACTCCCAGGAGTGGGCCAATTCCATTGGTTGCCATAAGCTACATTCATCTCCAGCTCCAGTCAATGTCAAACACCTGGCAGCTCCGCAAACCTGGAAAACAGGCAGATCCTAGGGGGCAATCACGGCTTGCTTGATATCCTTTTCCAACCTCTTCAACATCCAGGAGGTTGAAACTAGTCAAAGTGGTGGCTAAAAATAAAACTGTTCTATTGACTAAATTGTGACAAAGTCTAACTCACAATTTTGATAAAAGACTTCCAAATTGGCTGTCAAAGTTACTGCACAACCAATACCACAGATCCAAATAAAGTTAATGACTAAAGCAGTTTCAGGTGTTTAAGGTGAGCCAACCTTCCTGGAAATAAGGTTGAAATAGACGCGACCTGCTGTGCACTGCCCTCAGTATATTTGATTGTTAAATGTAATGGACTTTTCATTACAAGTCACCTGAGGACGGTGTGTTAATACTGTATGAGAAACCAAGGCTCCGGCTCTGTACTGGGATATGGAGTCAACATTGGCCGTTGCCATCAATCACCACAAACCAAGAAATAACCATGTGACATGTAAACAAAGCCTGTGGAATGTCTAACACTTGATTTCTGTCTGGAGTCTCGGCCTGTGACCAAATCTTAATAAAAACTGTTTCAACCACTGGAACAGTTTAGCACTTTATAATCGCTTACCCCACCAAAGACGTCATCTGGGGCTCTCCAGATGTCGGATTAAAACAGTTTTAAATCTTCTCTGGCTGGGAAACAACCCTTAGTATTTCAAGTCTGTGGTTCTTAAAAACCATCACAGGGATGAGTCAAAGTTGTCGTCACAAAAGACAAGGACAAAGTGTTTGAAGTGTGCATAGAATAGAGGTTGAAAGACTCCGAAAAAATAACATTGCCACATCAGCGTTAATTTACAATGATGTTCGGGGACAAAGGGGCCACTGCAATTAAGTGGGCCATTAAATGATCAACTGTCAACATGTAGACACTTAAAAAGAGGGGGCGAAAAAAAAGAATTCTTCCACACTTCAGCCTTGCACCTGAGCATTTCAGCAACATTACAGCCTTATTGTTGGCATGGGACCATCATGATCCCCCCCTGTTGGAACAGACATCTGTTAGGCTTTAAATGGATTACTCTCTATAATGAGCATGATTACTGCCTAATTGCTAAATCTATACCCTGTTAACTTTAAAGGCACATAAACTGCACTTAATATCTGTGAAAACATATCTGTTTCAAAAACACTAAAAACCTGGAGACACCGTGATTTTGCTTTTTTGCCTTAGAAACTGCAACACTGCTTAAATCGAGCAAAAACAATAGAACTAGAACAAAATAGTAGCATATATAAAAAAAAATATTTCAGAAATATAACTTTGACTGTCTAGAACTAGAACAAAATAGTAGCATATAAAAAAAAATATTTCAAAAATATAACTTCAGAAAAAACATCAGCACTGATATGTTGAACCAAACAATTGCTTTTCTGTTTTATTGATCATGTTGTTTAAAACCATTTTCCCCAAAAAAGCAGTGAACACCACTGGCCTAACAGACAGTTACAAGACGAGAGTTTTTACCTCTATATGTAGCTAAATTATCTTCACATGTGCAATACAGTATGAACGAATCCATGGCACTGATGTGTGTATAATTCAGTAATTATGACAAGACTAGCATCAAGTCAGACACTTAAATACCTAAAACTCCCCTTGCATTAAATTCTGTACTAGATTATGGTGCAAGACGTCACGCTTCATGAGTGTTGGCTACGTCTATAATTGATCATTGTAATAATGGTCCTAGTTCTAACATAAGTCTTTAAAAATAATTTTAGATGGAGCTGTTGGCTGTACTGTACTTGTAACGATATTTTGAGCTCTTTATAAGGTCCACTGGGCTGGGACAACTCAACTGGCAGTATTGGATCATGTGATATTTTACCTATTCATACTGATAATACATGTGGTCCTCTTAAGGAGCCACAAAAGATGTTGAACTCATTTGGAGCCCTACTGTAAGTAATGAGTCATTGCAGGTGGTTAATTAACATGTACTCAACCTTTGCTCTCTTGGGCACAATACACTCACCAAATGTTAAACTATGGAGCTGAGCAAAATCGTACAATGTCTAAACTAATCTGATCCGTGAACGGTAAGATTACATATCTAATGTTATTATCTATTTCTGTGATATGTACAATATCCACCTCATTAACTTAGAAGCAGTTGTAGAACCTGACCTTTTAGCAGTTCAGTGGTTCTAAAAATATATGAAAATTAATTAAAAGTATTAATTTATGACCTTAAAATGGTTAGACGCAGCATGTTGGAGCACAAAAGTGAATTAATCAACCTTTGTCCTATTTATTTCCAGAAACTACTCCTGCTAATAACTGCTATCTGGATTTCCAATGTACTGAAATTTACCAACCACATACGCCTAAGTCTTTTTTTTTTTTTAATTATTCTAAAAGATTCCGCACCACAGAAGCACATTCTTATATCGGTTGTTATGTGAGAGGAATAAAAAGAAGGGAAAAAAAAATCCCCTCCCTCCTGGATATTATTTAGACCACAAGGAAACAGAAGGCTAGGAGACAGAAGAGTGGTTAGGGTATCATTCACTCTCAACCTAATTACCCGTCCTTACGACATAAGACGGAACATTAATATGCACTGGCAACCGAAACAGTAAAGCAGATTAAATTAAAAACAATTAGGAGGCTATCACTTAGTCAACAGCTGGTATGGATCTCTGGTCAGTATTTAGGATCCTGCCTCTATACAGTACTATATATTTGTTCTTTTTCCCCTTGTGCATCTGAAGCATATTCATAACAATAGGAAGAAAAACATGAGGAAAAAAAGGCCTGGAAATTCCAATCTACCCTAATTAAATCAAGATAGGGGGAAATCAAGCTATCAATTATATTCAGAATCTTCTTATTTACAAATAATTAATTATAAACAATAGCGGTAATTTCGGTAATGACAGCCACCTGGCTAATGGCATTGTATCATATGTTGCGACAGCACTTAGCATTTGGTGGATCTGCATGCGGGGAGTGTTGCATGGTGCGACTCTTCAGGGCATGGCTAATTGAAACGTGGCACATATTTTTACTAATGGTTGTGAAGGTATTTTAAGGGTGAAAAAAAAAACCTACAAAGGCATTACTAAAAGTATCACCTCAATATGTAGTTATTTACACCTTTATCCTTGGTTATAATGTCCTGAATTGATATCACTAAGGTAAACGTCCTCATCACACATTGACTGTGTACTGTGATTTTTCTATAGATCAATATTATATTGAGTGTTAAACAGCTGAGGGAGGGGTGGGGGGCTTAAACACCCTGCATATGCAAATGACGTTAATTACGCATGCTGATAGGCAAAATGGCTAACATCTGTTTCTCTGCTGAAGTCTACCATCATCAGCAGCTAAACAAATGTGGAGAAAAAAAACTTCTTTATGTGTTAATGTATAAATCAGATATATTTTGACAAGAGGTAGAAACAAACAGGAATCTCAGTGTGCCACACAGCGTTACGCAAATACTTGCACAGTGAGCGCACATGCCATCATTGCAAGTACAGTAGTACTTCACTGCAAAACAAAAGTAAAATCCACCCTTTATCGGTTGGAAGGAAATGTCACCATCTTCACTGTGATTGTGAGTTTTATTAAGCTTTTATATCTGGGGAGGGACGTACCGACTGTCTCCCTGAGATTAGATTCCAGTACATTTACTGAGAGTGACGCTCTCACTGTCTCTTTAAGTAAAGGCCATAGAAAGCTGAAAGACGCCTGCAGGGGGATTGTGCACAGAAATGACTTTAGCAGAAGCACAACGGGGCATCTCAGTGCCTACAGTTGTCCTAATAGATAAAAAATACGACTTCTACTGCAGCCCACTTCACTTTATTACAATCTTTAAAATTTCTGTCTGCTGAGGTGCCCTGAGATGTCACAGCTATTATATAATGGTGGCCAAAAAATGGCAAAGCCCCTGCAATCACCCACCTAATTGTGATTCCGTATGATAGCTGGAGATCTTCAAGACGCCATCTGTGAGAAAACTGTTCCAGTCTCGGTCGCCATTGTCAAAGGGCAATTATTGTTATTGGTGTTTCTGCCGACGCACATGGAAACTGAAGACGAGGTCTGCGTTAATCGCTATGAGGCGAGCATGTTCTGGTCCAGCTAAGTTAGCATGGGTATCAATGCATAGCTAAAATATACTACAGTACATAGAGAAAAAAAAAGATACAAAATATAACCATAAAAAGTCTTAGTTGTACTTTGGTTGCTTTAAAGAAAAATCCAAAATAAAATAGCATGTGCAGCTATATGCAGC